CCCTCCTTCCCCCACCCCTTCCTCCTTCTGGGCTGGCCTGTCACGCCTTCTCAACACGCTAAAATCATTCAGAGTGGCTTGCAGGGAGAAACACGACATTTATGGTAAGCGTCAGCCTTCAGAGAAAGAAAGCAGTTCATTAATTTACTTCACACTTACTTCAAAGTGGGAGAGTGTACCTTACCCCCTTAATCAATAGATATGATGTACAGTCAATATTCCAACAATGTTAAAAAGGGGTCAGAAACACGCACCCTCACACCACAACATCAGCCTCAACTCTGCTCAATGAAACTTACACAAATTGCTACCTGACTTTGGATTTCAGTAAACCCCAGGAGGATTTTTTTTTTTTTTACATATTAGAAGCTGNCCAACAATGTTAAAAAGGGGTCAGAAACACGCACCCTCACACCACAACATCAGCCTCAACTCTGCTCAATGAAACTTACACAAATTGCTACCTGACTTTGGATTTCAGTAAACCCCAGGAGGATTTTTTTTTTTTTTTTACATATCTAGAAGCTGTGATACACTTGAGGAGTGTTAAAAACACACACACACACAAATGTTTACCTAGTCAAAACAAAACAATTCTCCCAGCTAGTAACATTTTAATCAATTCTGCCTTAAAATTAGATTTCTGAGAACATTTATAACTGCTTAGAAATATGAATTACTTTTTTTTTTTTTAACAAATGAATATTCAATAGGGCTCCAAGGGCTGTGGGCTTTTTTGCTACAGTGGTGTGGTGCTTTCTGTGGTTTAAGATGTTTCCTTGTGGTGGCAGTGAAATTGTAATGACATTTCTGAAGGCAACTAATAACAGAAATGGGAAGCAAGTGACTAAAACCCAATGAATTTGAACTGAGTGTATCTATTAACATGCACACACATTCATAGATATCTGGCCCAAACTCTGTTAGACACAGACGCCTCCATACATGTGGTCCAAGATTTGTCAAAACCTTGTCTCTATTCTCAGATAAATAAAACCCACACATATCAATCAAAATCCTAATTTTTCTCTCAGAAAGAGGCAGTGGGGATTTCCTGTGAGGGCTTCTAAATTCCACAAAACGCTCCTCAATTTCTCACCCAAAGAAAAAACAATGCTCTCTCACCCCCTTCTCTCTGTAATCCTTTTGTGTTGAAATTTACTCATCGCAACGGGACAACCC